AAACTTAAAAAAATAAGTTCTGAAATGTGATATACTGATTATAGTATTTTTAAGTGAATACTACTCTGATGAATGAAATAAAATTAAGTAAAAGAAAAACATGAACTAGATATCAAGACATATTTCTAGTACGTGAAGTTGGGATTCAATCCAGCAGAGGAGTCTCAGTGGACAAGAGGTGGGGAAAGATGCTTACACTATACATGTCACTTAGGGCTTCAGAGAACTTCAGTAATTTGCAAGGGTTGGACTTTGACTCTGGTAGGACAAGTGAGGTCTGATCTCTAATGCCATTGATTCTCTTTATTGTACAGGTACATGTTCCCTGCCTTACATTTCCCCATAGATCAGATTTATGTGGTTGCTCAATTTTCTGATTATAGTATTCTTTCTTTTTTTTCCTAGAAAGCATTCATTTTTGAGCCCCTGTTGATGCCACTCAGAAATGTCCTCCTTAAGTGGTAAAGTGCAGACTGTGCTGGGCCTTGTGGATCCAAACAAATTGGGTCACACCCTGACCCACGAACATTTGGCAATGACCTTTGACTGCTGTTACTGCCCTCCTCCTTCATGCCATGAAGCTGTCTCTAAGGAAACTCTTGTGATGAAAAATCTGTTTTGGATTCAGCAAAACCCTTATTCCCACAGAGAGAACCTTCAGCTGAATCAGGAAACAGAAGCCGTAAAGGAAGAATTGTTGTATTTTAAGGCCCACGGTGGAGGGGCTTTGGTGGAGAATACAACCTCTGGACTTAGCCGAGATGTACAGACTTTGAAGTGGTTAGCTGAGGAGACCGGTGTCCACATCATCTCTGGAGCTGGCTTTTATGTGGATGCAACACACTCTTCAGAGACCAGAGCAATGTCAATAGAGCAGGTAAAAAGCCCTCAATTCTTTCACAAATTTATGTACAGATTCATCTCTGGGTGGTACAAGCAGTTTAAGGTGCTAGCTCATAACTAAAAGATTGGCAGTTCAAGTCTATCTAGACACTCATGCCTCAGAAGAAAAGTCTCATGATCTGCTTCCAACAAATCAGCCACTGAAGACCCTATGGAGCACAGTTCTGTTCTGACACAAATGGGCTTTCTATGATAGGATCCTGGTGTGGTGCTATAGGATAAGCACTGTACTGCTAACCACAAGGTCAGCAGTTAAAACCCACCAGCTACTCCTTGGAAACAAGCGGATCACCTTGAGCCATAACCAATCTGACAGCACTTAATAACAACATGAGTCGTTGACTCAACCACAAGTGTTTGTTTACTTCCTTCTCCCCCCTCCCCCCAAATGTATAAATTCAGAAGAGCCAGAACTTCAGACCTTGGAGTATCCCTACACTTCATCTGTATTTGTAAATATCATTGACTCAGAGATAGCTGGGCATGCTATATAAATTTGCCAGCTAGCAGAGACATTTACCAGTTGAAACCCAAGTCAATACTGTTTAGTAAAGGAAAAGCATCAAGATCTTAATGCAGTGTCCACTGAAAAACATAACTTAATACTTAGATTTATATGTATTGTATCAGAGCACAGTATTGGCACCACTGTCTGTTTATAAACCTCAGTTTTCCATTATAAACTTCAATTATGCAACCTCAGTTTTTTTCCCTGGATTCTATAATAACCAGCAATAAAAATTCACTGCTGGGTGAAACTTGGCAGGCATAGACTTGGCACATTTGTGAATATGTTTCCTTCTCCTTTTGCAAAACAGGAGGGGTGGAAGAAACTGTATTCCCCTGTTTTTGTCACAATATGAAATTAAACAGGAATAGGCAGAAGAAAGTAAATCTTTTAGGGATAAAAAGAAAGAATAAATCCTAAAGCTTGTTTACACTTGTATGTGCTCCCTTTCTATGCACACAATTCTATTTATATTTTTATACATGTATGTATGTATATACCCACTGTCATTTAGTTGATTCCAAGTCATAGCAACCCTATACAGGGTTTCCAATTCTGTAAATCTTTATGGGGGTAGACAGCCTCATCTTTCTTCTGAAGAACAGCTGCTGGGCTTGAACTGCTAGCCTTGTGGTTAACAGTTCATTGCCTAATCCATAGCACTGCTAGGGTTCCTTACTAATGTATATACATATGTATATGGAATCCTGGTGTCGCTATAGTAAAAACACTAGATAAACACTGGACCACAAGGTCAGTTTGAATCACAAAGTCAGCAATTCAAACTTACCAGCTGCTCCTTGGAAACCCTATACAGGGTTGCTATAAGTTGGAACCCAGTAGATGACACCTAGCAACAACAACGTTCCTTATATGTATATTCCATATAAGAGTATATTCAATTATATATGTATATTTCATTGCCTATTTGTTAGATATAAAATGTCAACTGCAGTCTTTGCATAAGATAAATTATTTGGAATACTTTTTGTACTTCAGAATTTTATCTACATTTTTTTCTAATTAGAAGGATTTTACCTTTCTATATATTTATGTTTTTTTTAAATTACCCCAGTGTTAGAAATTGCACTTTCTTATGACTACTCTTAGCAGTAAATATACCTTAATCAGAAAAAGGAGTACTGGTGTGGCACTGTAGGTTAATGGCGTTAGACTGCAAGATCAGTTTCAACCGCAAGGTCAGCAGTTCAAACCCACCAGTTGTTTTCTTGGAAACCCTACACATAGTTGCTATGAGTTGGAACCAGCTCGAAAGCACTTAACAACAGTTGTTGTTGTTGTTGTTGTTAAGTTCCGTAGAGTAGATACCAACCCATAGCGACTCTGTATAGGGTTTCTGAGGAGCAGCTGGTGAGCTTAAACCACCAACCATATAGTTCAAACAGCTTTGCACTCTGATGCATTAACCCACAGCGCCACACCAGGACTCCACTTAACAACAATAACTAATCATAAAAAGAACTCCTGGTATATGGGAAGCACTGGACTGTGAGCCATAAGGTCGGCTGTTCAAACCCACCAGCTGCTCCTCCAAAACCTTATGCAGGGTCACTATGAGTCTGAACCAACTAGACAGCACTTAACAACAATCAGAAAAAAGGGAGCTCTGATGGCAATTATGTTATGCATTTTGTTGCCAAGAGCAAGGTCAGCAGTTCAAGTCCACCAGATACTCAGCAGGAGAAAGATGAGAGTTTCTATTCTCCTAAAGATTTGCAGCCTCGAAAGATCAGGCTTTTTCTACTCCCCTAAAGATTCACAGATTCAGAAATACTATACAGGGTCAACATGAATCAGAACTGACTCGGTAGCACATAGCCAGTCAGCCAATCAAAAAACAGCGTACATAGAAAAAAAAAATTCATATAAAAGGTAGGGTTAGCGTTTCTGTTCATGTTTTGTCGGGGTTTTCCCTCGACATAGTTGTCACGAGTGTTTGGTTCACGAGGAGGGGAGATCCAGCGGCGATAGGGATAGCGAAAGAATACACAGACAAACAGAAGAAGGGAGACAATGAGGCACCCCAAAGCCAGGGTGGATACATCACTGGTGGGCAGGCTTGGGAGTACAGGCATCAAGGCCTCTGCAGGCAGCAACTCACTGCCCTGCAATCTTTACTGCATGCCTTCCAACCCGTAATGCACCGCAATCTTTACTCCATGCCTTCCAACCAGTAATGCACTGCTATCTTTACTGCATGCCTTCCAACCAGTAATGCACACCTGGGGAGGCTCGGGCCTCTGTTTTATTTAGGGGAGGAGTTTCACACCAAGCTGGTAGGGACTAAAACAGGATACAGCTAACATCAGTAATTTTCCAGACATTCAGGTAACTTTACATTGTACTTCACTGGTTCGAATCCCAGGCCAGCAACTTGGATTCTCAGGCCTAATTAACATATCTATAGCCCCTGAGGTCAGTTGGGGGAAGGTGAGAGTTCTGCAGGAGACACCCAGGTGAATGGGCTGCACCTGGAAAAGGGATTAGGGAGGATGGGTTCTTTGTCTATAGAACAAAGAACCGAGAAGTAGCTATTTTTAGTCAATCCTTTGGAGAAAGGTTTAACCTTGCAACCTTTAGTCTCGGCTTTAGGAAAATATCACATTTATCTGTGGATTTTCAAAGGCTCCAGTGTATTAATTTAATATATATACCTGAATATTAAGATGAAAGCAATTTTCCATTAACTGCCAGTGGCCTCATTTGTTACACTCAGCCCTAGAGGGCCTCGAACCTCTGACTAATCTTACACGGTCTGCAACAATGTTTGGGTTAAGGTTTGGGATCAGGTTAGGGTTTGGGTTTAGGTTTGGGTCCGAGTTAGAGTTTATTGCTTTAAAACCCTGTGAATACAAGAATTTTTCTATGTTTTTATTTTGCAGCAAATGGACAATTTTCCGTGTCCATATTTTTCTGTGTGCACAATTTGCTTGTGCCCATTTATGAAAGTGGGTGTTTTTTTTTTTTCCTGTGTGCAATTTTTATGTTTTTTTTTTTCATAGTACCTAAATATACATATGAACTAAAAAGTGTAATGTTAATACTGTGTGCTGTGAATTTTCCAAAGTTATATCAGAAAAAGGACTAAATAAGTGAGACAGAATTAAAGAATTATTTGATACAGTTCATATAGAGTCACTGGTTGTCTTAATATGTGTTAGATGCTCCCAGGGTTAGAATTTCTGTTGGTTGTTGTTATTGCTGAGAATATACACAGAAAAATGTATATGAATTCAACTACTTCTACATGTACAATTAAGTGACATGCAGGAAAAAATGATGTAATTGGTTGCATTCTTTGAGCTGTACATTTCATTCTCAGCCTCCTTTTCAAAGCTGATCCTCCCCCACTAACAAAAACTCACTGCACCTAAGGTTCCTAGCTAATCTTTGGAGTTGACATTTTGATTTCATATTGTTGTTGTTAAGTGCCATTGAGTTGGTTACTGACCCACCGCAACCCTCTGTACAGTTTCTGAACCTCTATAGAGCCTAGTGAGCGTGAACTGCTGCTGTTGCGGTTCTAAACTAACTTTACAGTCCAGCACATAAACCCACAGGGCCACAGTGGGCCTCCTTGAAGTCATATAGATAGTTCTTAAAAGAGCATAATGCTTAAGGCAGACAATAGTTAACCTAAACTATTATTGGATTTAAAGGTTTTCTGGGATAATTTTGGTTTAAGGCTTAAAGATCATCTCAGCGAAATAGTCTCTGGGATTCACCTAGCCTCAAGAGCTCCATAAAGTCTGGATTCCATGAAAACTAAAAATTTTCTTCTGCATTTCTTCCCTTATGATGAGTGTTCTTTTATGGAATTTTGATCAAAATGTTCAGTGATGGTAGCTAGGCACTAAATCTAAATGTTTCTTGTTCACATTAAATCACTTTTGTTTTTTCCTACAAGTTCCTAAAGCTCTAAGTTTGTCTTTAAATGATCAGTCTTAATGAATCTTTGATTTAGAATTATTTGAGATTTGCCTAGCACAATGCCATTTTCATTGACCAATATTAATTGAATAAATGTGTATTTTTTAAATTAATGACTAGATTTACAGATTAATTTACATGCTATAAATTCTGCTGTCTGTAAAAAAATTTAAATCTTATTATTCCTTAGCTTACAGATGTCCTTATTAATGAAATTCAACATGGAGCTGATGGAACCAATATCAAGTGTGGTGTTATTGGAGAAATTGGTTGCTCCTGGCCTTTGACTACAAGTGAAAGAAAAGTTCTTCAGGCAACAGCTCAGGCCCAGGCTCAACTTGGCTGTCCTGTTATTATCCATCCTGGAAGGAATCCAAGCGCACCATTTCAGATTATCCGAGTATTGCAAGAAGCAGGTGCAGACATTTCCAAAACAGTTATGTCACACCTTGATAGGTAAGCTTTACACATTAGTGCCAACTATCAAATACACCCACAGGTGAGTTGGAAGAAAGGCTTAGCAGTCTGTTTCCAAAAGGTCACAGCAATGAAACTCAATAGAACAGTTCTACTCTGCATATATAGGGTCACCACAAGTTGAATCTATTTGACAGCAACTTGGTGTTCTTATTTGCCATCAGTTCCAATTCATGGCAGCAACTGATTATCAAATAAGTAAACCCATCAATAATCAAATCATTAAAATGCAAATCACCTAGAAACAATCCACGAACTGTCTGGAAGATAGTACTTACAAAGTTTTACAACTGATCTGAAAGTCACTGCTGTCACTTGCATCTCTTTATTTTGTGTCGGCTAGTAAGGAGCTCTGGTAGCGTAGTGGTTACGAATCGGGTTGCAAACCGCAAGGTCAGCAGTTCAAAACTACCAGCCGGTCCGCGGGAAAAAGATGAGACTTTCTGCTCCCGTAAAGATTTATAGCCTCGGAAACCCTGTACAGGGTCGCTATGAGTCATAACCGACTCCACGGCACATAACAACAACAAAACAAGTACCCCAGGTATCTTGCATAAGTCATTTCACTTAGTTCCTCGTAACCCTTCAGTAGTAAACAGATGTCACTTTCTGCTTCACTTCTTTATGTCAGAGTACGATATCACAGTAGCTGCCAATCCTACTTACTCAATATTTGCCAGTAATTACAGTGATAAACTTATCAGCAAATGTATGGGGAAGGGAAAGTGAATGGTTACATCTTGAGAAGAAAACCACAAGCATAAATGTCCATACTGTGATACCTGTTGTGACTGGTGGTTTAAATCATCTGCATTTTGGAAAATGAAGTGTTAAAAATAATAATGGTATCTATATAGCAATGTACAGCATTTGACATGTTATCAGGAGGTACCAATCTCTGGAGAAGGACATGATACTTGGGGAAGTGGCGAGTCAGAGAAGAAGAGGAAGCCATCTAATGAGATGGATTGACATCGTGGCAGTAACAACAGGCTCAAATGTAATGATTGTGAGGATGGCCCAGGACTGGGCAGTGTTTTGTTCTGTTGTGCATAGGGTCACTAAGCGTCAGAACCAACTCGATGGCAGTGAAAAACTGTGTACTAGTGTACTAATATGTTGTAGCAAATTACAACCACGTTTGAGTGGCTTTAAAACAACCAAAAATTTTTGCCTCACATTTATGGAGCCCCAAATTCTGAAATCAAGGTGTTGGGAGGATAATAATCCCTCCAAAGGTTCTTGCGGAAAATCTTTTCTAGCTTCTTCTGGCTTTTGGTGACTCTAGGCATTCTGTGGTTTGTGGCTGTATAAACCTAATCTCTGACTTTGTGTCTCTGTCTATTTTTCAATCCTTCCTTTGAAAAGATTGAAATTGACTTTCTGAATGATTTCATCTTGAGATCCTTAATCTAATTGCTTCTTCAAAGACCCTTTTCCTAACTATTGAGTCCTGGTATGGCACTGCAGGATAATGCACTGGACCACAAGGTCTGTTTGAACCACAAGACTGGTAGTTCAAATTCACCAGTTGTTCTTTGGAAACCCTATACAGGGTCGCTATCAGTCAAAACTGACTCAACAGCATTTAATAATAGCAATCCAATGTACTCTACCACTTGTCTGCCAGTTTGTCATACTATAGTGGCTTGTGTTGCTGTGATGCTGTAAGCTATGCCAAATATATTTTAAATATAAGCATGGTCACCCATGGTGGACAGATTTCAGCTGAGCTCCTAGGCTAAGACAGACTAGGAAGGAGAGGCAGACTACTTCTGAATGTTTAGCCATTGAAAACCTTATTAATAACAGCAAAACATTGTGAGATATAACAGCAGAAATTGAAAACATTATGGATAGCACCAGAATATTTTCAGATACAGTGCCAGAAGAGGAGCCCCTGGGGTTGGAAGGCACTCAAAATATGACTAGGGAACAGCTGCCATTTCAAAGTAGAACTGACCGTGATGACACAAATAGAGTAAAGTTTCTGATGGGGCACAAATCAAAATGAAAACAATCAGCTAGAGAAAATCCATTAATAATAGGAGCATGGGATATACAATGTATGAATCAAGGAAAATTGAAAGTTGTAAAAGCTGAAAGGGAATACACTAGGCATTAGTGAGTTGAAACGGACTGGTATTGGTCTTTTTTTTTTTTT